TATAATTATAATTATAATTATAATTATAATTAATTATTGTTTGGGCAAAACAATCACTTTGTTATGGAATCATTTAATTACATCTAAATTTCTACCACAGCCTTGCAGATGTCCTATATAAATCAAGATTATATAACTGATAATGATAATTATCAGTTATAGTTGATAATTATCATTATTATCAATAAAAAATATCACACAACAACAACAAAAAGTTATTGTTGTTGTAACAAACTTTAAGAGCGTATACTCATCAAACAAATAAAAATCTTAATAATATGGTTCTAAAAGTTATTATTTTCAGAGTTACAAGATTTCTTTTAGAATAATTACTCACTCGTTAAAAAAATTTCTGGTATTTCTCTTATTTGATGACAGCAATTGTGTCAATTCATTTATTAAAGTAACCGATTCACTATACTTTTTAAATGTCCCCGTATCTTCGAATGAAAATCCAATTTTGATAATTGAGTGAATATAGCCATTTCACGTATCCAATTTACCTTTCAGAAGATCTTGTTTTTAAATATTGCTCGACTTAAATATTGATTTATTTCAGGAAACATTTCATAATTCCGGAACTTGGATCCATATTCATGTTTTGGAAAATTTGACGAGTATACGCTCCTAAAGTTCTCTAATTCTTTGACATCTTAACCTAAACCTGATCTAAAGAGAAACATAAATAAGAGAATACAAAAATATTGAATATAGAATACATACTATCCAATGGGAACATTAGTTAATTAGTAATAATTAAAAACATTGACTTACTTTGATTTAAACTTCTTGAACTTAACCTAAATCTTATCCTTCCAACCGTCAACTCCATTCGGACTCTATTTGCTGCTTTGTTAACAATTCTTTGAAACAGTCATTTCAAATTATAGTCTGCACATTTTTAGTGTGTGTGTATTATCATTATAAGTGTTATCATCGCTTTTCTTTTATTTTTTTATATTAAATTACACTTTATATTAAATATATATTTTTTATATTTATATTTATATTTATATATTTATATAATATTTTTTATATTAAATTACACTTTATATGTATCATTAAATTACACATTATATGTATCTTTCAAATTTTATATTATTAATAAATATAATATATTTTTGTAATTTTGTATCTGTAATTCTTTCTTCAATACGAAATTAAGTTTCTATTATGAACGAACTCTATATTTGGCGATCTCATTAGTCAAAAAGATATTAAATCAAGTTAACAATTAAATGACAATGAAATGTACTATTTCGTTACGTATTTCTTGCTGATTGTCACAAAGTTGTCCTTTATTCCTGATCTTTTCAAATTTATATAATAGTAAAAAATGAATACATTGAACACATGAATAATTAAATTTGCAAACTGTTTTAATAACGATAAATAAACTGAATTACTGTTCAATCACACGTAAAATTCGCTTTTATTTTCACGTAAAATAAAGTAAAATGTAATTTAATTTTCACGTAGGTGTTCAATTTCATGTTAAATTGCTATTCCAGTTTTATTTAGTATAACTCGTTGTATCTTCTTCTCGACTTTGAGCACATGTAATATATTGTTTGTATAAAAGATTGTTTGTATAAAAGATTTGTTTGTAAAAAAGATTTAATAATATATGCTAATAGAGCTATAAACAGATACCAACTTGATGGTAACAAGTATCAATATCAACAATTCTGGTGATACGTATCAAAAATATCAAAAATAAATGTCACTGAATAAATGTCCCTACATTCTGCAGAATGAGATAACTTCTCGTGAGAAATTAATCAACATGGAACCAACAATCAAATTATGGTAAGAATAAATAAGAGTCGAACAATTTCCCGCGTTACAAGTTGGCAAAGAGTGATCGAAAAGCGGAGGAAACGTGAGATCATTGGTAGCAGAAGGTCGCGTAGAAAGGACACCGAGCTAAAAGAGAATAAAACGAACGACGTGGAGATTGCCCGCAGCAAAAGATAACCGGGTACCGGGAACAGAGAAAAAAAACATTGCGTGACCGAAACCTGAAAACCAGAATCCCGCTGCCGTTGAAGCTGGCACAAACTCCCGGACCCCATACTTCTTCCATGAGATCGGACTCGAACTACAAATATGTACGAATTCTATCGTGTGTACATATCGTGTATACGTGTCGTGACGATGGTATATCGTTTTTAATTTTCAGCCGAACTCGATCGGTAGCCGCACGGATATTCAGCTACCGAATTGAAACTCCCGCAATAAAGATCAAGAGAGAAGAAAAAAATGAGATCGAAAACCTAATCGTTTTCGATTTTTTTTTTTTGTTTTTAACGATATTTGATGATTTCTCTTCAATGTGGAAAGGTAATGGTAACTAAAAAAAATATTCCTTTTTGCTTTAAAGTTTCTTGGATATTAACGCTTTAACTCTTGACTGATATCATTAGCTTATTGAAAATGATGAAAATTTAAAATTTAGAATTTAGAAGCTACTTTAATCTCTATCGCAAGAAATATAAAATACAAAATTAAAATATCCTAAATTTTTTAATCTGGAATCCAAAGGTATCACCTACTTATAGTTGGATTGAAGAAAATTCTTTTAAAATAGTCAGGGATTGGAAAATTACACGATTTACTTAAGTAAAACTGTATAATATTAAAATTTAATGAAAATATTTAATTAATGTACGTAATGAAACACTTTAACAGTGAGAATATAAGCAAATGTTATTTCAGCGAAATACGGAGAAATTAAATTTGTTTTAGATTCAATTTTTGAATTATGTATATTTGTGTTGGAAGAAATTTTCATTTTATCTGAGGAAATTACATAATTTTCTTTTTTAATTAAAGAAAATCATACTTATTGAAATCTAATAAATATAAAATTTAATTGAGATGACGCTACAAATAAATTTTATTCAAATTGGAAACAATTTTTTATTTTGTTGTATAATATACATATAATTTTAAATCATTTTTTATTTTATTTTGTTTGTAAATAAAAGCTATTGTATATTTGTCAAATAACAAGTCATAATGAATTTATATTATAGTATTTAAATCTTCTGAAACATTTACAGCGAGAAATCTACACCGAACTGTTGTCTAGATGGAAAGCTATGGTCTAATGGTAATTCTATTGTTGATTCTGATGAAGGATGCACGAAACAAGAAAATTATAGTGTTATCGTGTTTGTATTATCATGATTCAAATTGAGTGACAATGGAACTGGAAGTAATCGGACAAATGCGACAGCGAAATAAAAGCTTCATTTAAATCTGCATTTGTCATTATTTCCATAATAGGTACTTACATATACGTATGTACATCATGTGCTGCTGCTCAAAAGGGTTATTTTTACATAATATTCAATATTTATAGCAGATAATGAAATTTTTCAATTGTATGTGTATTTTATAATGTTAGTACATTAATCTTTTACAATTAGGACTATAAGAATTTATTAATCGCACAATCAGAATTTATAAGAATTTATTAATCACAGCTATAATTAATTTATTGGAAATCTGACAACTAATAACTTTTACAACAATTCATTCCATAATATTGTAGTTATGTTTGCAAATATGTTTTGAGCAATAGATATTTTCATAATATGAACACAGGTTATGAAAAATTAACACTTTATGAATTTTTAGTTACATAAAAGATTATTTCGTTTTTCCAATTTTGAAACAAATATAATACTTATCCTAAAATTTTTGAATAGAGGTATTTGTATTGCATAGAAAAATATAGAGTTTGTTGTGGTAATATTTGTATCAGGTATAATACTATTTTTAATAATGTAAGTAAATCTTTTTAAAAACAAATTCAATGAAACTGTTCCGATGAGAAAATTTTCAAAGTAATCCC